GCCGTTCCATTGAATCCCAATATGTTTTTGTTTACTCCATCATCAGTTTTGTCGTCCGAAGTCTCATCGTCCCTTCGGCCCAAACTGTGTTCCAATTAAGGAAGGTGGTTTATCCATCTTTCAAAACTTAAAATCTTTCTGCGGTGCAAACATCTCTTTCTTGGTCTAATCTATTGAAATACTGTGCTTACAGTCCGTCCAGAGGCTGAAAGATGGCTGTTCTATCTAGGAGACTAGGAGACCTTATGATCTGTCTAGTACTCAATAAAATCCATCAGATTCCCTTCTTCAGTTCTACATAATCCGGTTTTTAGGAGACAATATAATATAGGCTGTAGGGCTGTAGAATACCCACAGCATTATGTTTCCACCACTGTTCCGTTGTTTGGCAACAGCATAGGCCTATAGCTGCGGTGTAATGCACATAGCGATCCATTATTTGGAGTAATGGACTCAAAATATCTGTAAACCGGTGCTACGCCACAGTAAGAGGGGATGTACAGATGGAAAGGTCAAGGTGGAAGCAAGACGCCTGTACTGTACTTGTACTGTATAGCTTCCTCTCTCCCCCCGTACTACGGCTGCCAGGCTACCAGCGTTTGTATTTGTAACGGTCAAATAAGCTCGGAGATATCTTGCGACAATTATAGTTAAAAGACTCAGACCATGTTGCGCTACGGCGGGGAATAAGAAGAAAAGATGTGTGTTGTGAGGTTCTTTGTTTTTAATAATATGAATTTAATGAACGTAAGAATAAACCAGTGATTTTTTCTTGCAGTGTAACGTAGTAACGTAGTAACGTATTTGTAATTTTATCTTATTTATTTCACTGTCAGTAAAACGTGATAACAGCAGAATGGAATAAAATATTCTAATTCTGAAATATACAAAGAGGTGGGAATTTAAATTAGTATTTTTCTTATAATAATGATACTGGCTACACCTTATGACTGAGACTTATAATTAGACTATAATTATACTCCTCTTCTTGTCAAAAAAAATGAAAAATGTCTGTAAAACACATAAATGTCGCATAGTGAAATATTACTTTTTTCTGTTCACTTTTAACCATAATCCTACACTCACGTAGACCTATAGCTCTTATTTAATTTGTGATAATTTAGTACTCTAATTATTTAATGATATTTTATCTTTCCTTTTTTCCTACACTCACGTAGACCTATAGCTCTAATTTAATTTGTGACAATTTAGTACTCTAATTATTTAATGATGTTTTATCTTTCCTTTTACGATGTAATTAATTTAAAGAACTGTATTTAAATGTCATTATAATTAGGGGTTTATGTACAATAAGAACCGTAGCAGATCTAGCTTTTTAGTTTTGAGATCGCATTATTATATTCGGATGAACGCGGACGAGGAGACTGCTACATAAATGGACACTCGATGAGGGAGAGATAGGCCGATTGTGGGGGAAGTACCTGTAGTCATTACACGGGCTGAGTGGCTGCTCTGAGCTTCTATTATTCTACAAGTCCGGAAGGCGTTAATTATCACCAGTAACTTTACTGCACAAGTTCATGAACTTCCTTAATAAACTTAGACTGAACACTTGCTTGGAGAGCGCTGGGCTAGAAGCTGTTTGTGTGAGGAAAAGAGAATTACGTTCATAAGAATTTTTGGTTAGTTCAGGTCAGTGGAAATTAGATTTGACTTAATTTCTTTTATGATTTTCAAATCATGTGTTG